TATTCTTCCCAGCAACTTCTAATTGCATAACTGAATTTCCCTGTTTATTAATTTTGTAGTGTTGTGACTTACAATTGAAAGTAAATTGCCCAAAAGAAAAATCCGGTTCATTTGACCAAACCAAAGGAATCTGAAGACCATGGAGAGAGTAGCGTTTCCATCAATTATGTCCTCCTTTCCTGCAGCTGCTGGAGCTATTGAAGCTGGGTTCTGTGGCCGTAGTGGTCAGAGTCCCACAGAGATGGTGGACGGCCATCACAATGAGAACACATTTCCTCCAGAAGCAAGAGATCTTCCATACAGTTGGATTGCTCTTTCCTTTCTGCTGTGCCATTTGCTGGGTTGTCAAACTCCTAGTGTTTTGTGGGTGGCAAAATGATGTCATTTTCTTCAACAGCTTGTAATAATTTCCACTCCCAACCCTTCACGAGAGGTACAAATTACCAAAGAAAAAGGGCTATCAGCTTACAGATGGCAGTGTCACTTTTCTTTTCCATTGAGATCACAATATCCTTCTTTCTAGCTGAATGACAATTGTGCTGTCACTAAAATTACGTAACGCTCTTTCCCCTAAGAGGTTATGCTTTAGGATTCAAAGGACAGCTGTCAAAATACAACATGCTCTATTCTAGGCATTGGAAGTCTCTTAGGGGGTTGTACAGATGAGTTTGGCTTTTTCTTTTCTCGTGTGGATCATAGATAGAATTAGCAGTGGAATGTAAATTAGAAAATGACATTTATGTGGCAAGTTAAGTGAAACACCTGAGATATGATGACACACTAAAATAACTTGTGTTTGCTGTAAATCACAGGGGTCACAGGTGAAAATAAATGGCAGCAATGCACTGACTCAGTGCAGTTTGGTAGCCTGCACTGAAACTGACTTTTCTCTTTATTTTGTATGCTATTAGGCTGTACAACGTGTAGTAAAAGCTGCTCTGATTTTTTAGGTGTTCCCTGATATCTTGAAATCAGCTGTGCTGTAATACTGTCCACTGCTGCCAATTGCTGTGAAGAGGCACTACATCAAGGAAATTCAGTCTAGTCTTCCACTGTGACTGGGAGGAAAAAACTCCAATAGTTTTAGAACATTCCCCAAAACAGAAAGAGGAAAGAAGAATAAAAAAAGAAAAAAAAAAGAGGAGAAATGCTGGAAAAAGTATCTTGGTTTAGGCAAAAAACATGGAGCCACATTTTTGTCTGAAGGAATTGAACAGGACTGTTTTTGAGGAGTCAGAGCGGCTCTATAAGGTGACTTTTATTTCCTTCAAAGCTGAATGTAACCAAGAAGTGTGCGTATGTCATTTTCATAAAAAAAAAAAAAGAAAAAAAGAAAAAAAAAAGAAATTAAAACCTTTCTAAATAACAGTAGACAGCAAATCTAAGCTAGGCCAATGCAGATCTTAAACCCTGAGGCTCAGCTTTTCCTGCTCAAATGACTCATTAACTGGACCGGGTGACACCTCTGGTGTTTCTTTCCTGTGGCTCTCAGGCAGATTCTTGTTTTCCCTCAGTATTTCTCATCATGAGTATTCCCTGCTCACACAACTTCAGTTCCTATTGTAAAACACTGCAGAAACAGGAAGATCTTAACAAAACAAGCCTGGTAGTATCAAAGTCCTTGAAACTGAAGAAAAATGATGTGAGGAAGGAGAAGGGTAAGAAAATAGATCAACAGTACTGCTTCTAAGGGGTCATTTTCTCCCACCTGCAAATAAGGGGAGAACTCTATATTAGGTGGTAAAAAATCTATATTGAGTAACATAGAAGAGGAAAAAGTGTGGCACACATATGAGTGAATCAAACTTTGGTTTGCAGAGCACCTATTTCTGGAAGCAAGCCAGTCACTTGCTGTAGGTTGCTTAGATTGCCAGCAAGAAAATACATTAAAATAAAACATACCAAACCAAAACAAATGAAAAACATACGCAAAGTGGATGCATACATAACATCATCTTTTTAAGTGACGATGATAACATGGAACTAGTTGTCTGTGACGTGAATGGAAGGCAAAACATCTACAACATAGACAAACTCTTAGATAAGATACTAATCACATTTTAGGGATACTTTTAACATCAGGGATAAGGAGACTAAGATGTACAGGTATTACAAAGCATTCGCTGCTCAGCTGTGTGAATGGAAGAAAGGATGGCTTATTTTTTATTTGCTGGTCTGGTTTGTGTGGAAGATCTCTGGGACAGCATTTGTGAATGCGTGGGAGATGTTGGCTTGTTTAGCCTAGCAGAAAGAAAGCTGAGAAAGGATGCCGTCTCTACCTCCAGACACTATCAGTAAGAGGCAAAGAGTATTTTGTCTAATGGCCAATGGTGGCATAGGAATGATCTGGTACAAGTCAACAATAAGTAAAGGCTGCCTTTGAAAAATGTTCATAATCCTAGGCAAGGAATTAACTTTCAGAGTAGCGTAGGCAAAAATCTCTCAGTCATCTTAAAATCGAGCTAAGAAAGTTTACAAACAGGCTCATAGGATGGTGTTACAAGGACTAATTGCTGTCACCTCTGAGCTCTTGCTGACCTCTTGCCAGGCCCAGGTTCCACTCCTATGCCATGTACATTCTCTCTGACTACATGTTGACCACCAAGTACAGCTCCTGGCCAACCTCCACATGTGGATAAATAACTTGTTGGTAGTGTGCTAACTCTGCAGGGCAAAGCAGCAGGCAAGAGTGAGCTGTATAAGGACTGCTCCTCTGCAGACCCTGCAGCCTACAAAGATCCCAGGGTGAGTTCCCCAGAGCAGAGCTGAGGGGAGCTGCAGCCCTGATGGCGGCTGTAGCTCCTCGCAGGGAGCGGAGGGGCAGCGTTGAGCTCTGCTGTGTGCGACAGAGCCAGCGACAGGGCCCAAGGGAACGGCATGGAGCTGCATCAGGGCAGGGGCAGCTGGGGGTTAGGAAATGGTTTTTCACCAGAGGGCAGTGGGCATGGAACAGGCTGCTGGAGTTCAGGAAGTATTTGGACAATGGTGTCAGACACGGTTTTGATTTTAGGTGGTCCAGTGTGGAGCCAGAAGATGGATTCAGTGATGCTGGGGGACTCCTTCTAACTCAGGATATTCTATGAGTTGTGTTTCCAGGTGTGAGAAGAGGTTAGGAGATTGGGACTGGGGTGCATGTGCAGGGCTTATAGGAGGCTATGAAAGTCAGAGCCAGCAATAACTGTTTGTATCCAAAGATTAGACACTGCTAACTGCTGATCAGCAAGAAGCAATTGCAGCAATCATAACCTGTTGCTGCTAATCTCTCCCTAAGAAGAGGTAACAGCTCTTGGCAACTCTTTGTCTGGTCTAGTATTAAATGGGGAGGTTGGCCCAGCTTGCAGCAGGGGGGTTGTAGACTCATGATCCTTGGGGTCCCTTCCAACGCAGGCCATTCTGTGGTTCTGTCATTCTGTCTTCAGGACCCTTCTCCCAGGTCCTGCCAGCTCAGCTGTCCCATGATGGGATCATGTCTGCGAAGAACAACAGCTCCCGGGTGTCAGTGACTTGCAGCTGTAATGGATCATCCTTGGGGAATGCCTGGAGCACAGGAGGCGGGGGCTGGAGAAGCTAGAGGTGAGGTGGTACTGTGTGTTGCCTTCAGAGGTGATGCAGCATGGAGATGGCAGAAAGGGAGAAGGAAATGGATGTTGTTGACTGGCTGAAGTCTTATTCATGCTTATCTGGCACACCTTTGCCTTGCGTGATGGGATGTGATTACGGTTTGGGATGGGTGAGACCTCTGTGGGGGTCCTATGAAGAACTACAAAGCTGCGGCTGCTATTCTCCCCCAGCTCTGCTGTGTACTAATGCAGTTAATGGGAGGATGGCAAGAGCTGAAAATAAAGTTCATCAGCTCCAGAAGCAGAGGGAGCAGAGGGCTGGAGCAATTTGATTTTAATCAAGTTCTAAATCAGCAAGCTGGAAACACTGATTTACATTATCAATATCAATTTTATTAGCATTTTACGGAGAGGAATGAGGTAATTGCAAAGGCAGATTCATTCTTATTGGCAGTTCTGACCTAGCAGCACTTCTTGCTGATTAAAGAGGGCTCAGCTGTGACCTGCCTCGGCTCTCCTGCTCACCCTGGGAATTATGAACCGTACTTCTATTTCTACTACATCTGAAAGTAATACTGTATTTATTTCTGTCATTTTTACATGATCTATATCTTACTGCACTGCAGGGAATTTACGAATTTATTAAAAATGATTTTAAAATGGCTTTTCACTAACCTATTATTTAATTAAGGTCATAGAAATGCTTAATTTAATGAAATAGCCTATTTTTGAATGTGCTAGATGTACAGAGTGAAACAACGAAAATAACCTCGCATGAAAAGTAACTTGAGAAGGTGCTGTCTGTGGTTGGAGAGCTCACCTGTTGGTATCGGGACACGGCTCTTCAAAGACTTAGAATTACTCATTCTCACCCTCTCTGTATTGCTATTTTTGCCTACGGGGTTTTGTTGGTACTTTTTCATATGCTAAAGAGGGGGGATAATCTACATTTCTCCTTTTTCTTTTTGAATTAATGATTATTCAGTCACTGAAGCTGGTTAGTATAGAAATAAGGGAAGATAAACTCGTTTGAAGAGAAAGTTAGTAGATTGGTACTTAATGTGGTACAGGTTAATGCACTGGACTATTCCAGCTGGCTTTTTTTGCAAGCTTGGTGGTAAATACAGTACCAGTATTTTGCAATCGCTTCACTTATAAAGATTTTTGGAAGAGGCCGTACCTTTCAAGGCTAGTTTGAAAGCTGGAAATAAAATTAGGTGGGTTTTTTTTTTTGCCCTCTCTGCGATTACTGTGAGCTCTTAGCGACGGCTCTCACAAACGCGTCACTTTTCACCCACTCCACTTCCCCACGCAGCCCGGTGCCGGAGCGAAGGGTTGCGGGGGGGGCGGCACAGAGGGCGGGGCCGGCGGCGGGCGGGCAGGGAGGGAGGCGGCGGAGGCCGCCCGGGGCTTTTCGCCGCTCGCTGCCTCGTCGCTGCCATGGCTTCGCTGCGCTCCGGCCCGGCCTGGTGCCGCCTGCTCGCCTGGGCCGCGCTCGGCCCCGTGCTTTGCGGAGGGTCGGTGCGGGCCGAGCCGGAGCCGGGCGCGGAGCCGGAGGCGGACCCGCACGCGCGGCACCTCTACAGCGCCGAGATGCTGCGGCACGGCGCCGCCGCCGCCCCGCACTTCGTCATGTTCTTCGCCCCTTGGTGGGTATCGGAGCGCCGGGAGGGCCGGCACGGCTCGGCTCGGCCTGGCCTGGCCCTGCGCGGCGTCTCCCAGCCCGCCTCTTCCCCCGTTGACGTGGCGCCGGGAGGCGGCCGGGCCGGGGAGGCCTTGGGGTCGCTCCGTGCGCCTTCCGCCGGGCGAGGGGCGGCACACGTGGTGAATGGCGGCAGCGGAGGGCCGGGCCGGGGACGGGGTGAAGCCTGGTGCGAATCGCCGCGCCCGGACCGGGACCTCCGGCCCTAAAATGGGACCCTCCGCCGAGGGGAGGCAGCTGGGGTGGGCTGGGCTGGATGGGGATGGCGCGGAGCAGCCCTGTCACGGCGGTGGGACGGGGAGCCCGTGCAGGGAGCCTGCAGCAGCTTTGCACGCAGACCGAGGGCTTTCGTTGTACTAACGAAACGGAGGCTTTGCTGACTTCCATGCCCCAGCGTCCCCGGCCTTGTAGATACTTTCTTGAAGTTTAGTCCTCTTTACTGCTGCAGATGTGAGGATAAGTTTGCTGCGAAAGTAATATAAATGAAAGCTTCCAAACAGTATAAATGGAAGTCCCTCAGGCTGCAGGTTATAGTGGCAGAGCTGGGGAGCTACCATATCTGCAAGATATTCACTAGGTTCTCGTTCTAGACTGGCACGTTGGACACGAGAATAGTCAGAGCCTAAGAACAGGACTTGGATGGGCATTACAGCAGTCAGTGGGACAGTAGTTCTCATCTCTGGGCCTCTGCAGTGGTTGCTCTTGTTCTCCTTTTCTGCTTCACTCTCTCCTTCTCTCCTTTTTTTTTTTTATCCATCTCTGACTTACCCAGTAGTGTTATTACAAGTTTTGTTGTCAGGGTTGCTTCTTTTCCTCCCCAAGTTTTCTTAGGTTGAGATAATGGAATGATGTCTTAGCTTTGGACCGAAATGTGCCTACTGCAAACTTTTGGTACCTGGTGCCACTGAGGCGCACGTATGTCATGATACTCTTTGAAATCAAAGCTAGAGAAGTATTTCCTTTAAGAAATGAATTTTTTTTTTTTTTTTTTTGTTACTGCCATCAACTTGTTTATGACATAGAGAAGTTAAGTAAAAGCTTGAAAGAGCTTGAAATTTTCCTTTGCTCACTGAAAGTTACAAAACGGAGGAAGCCCAACTTGCTGGTGAAGGATCTTTGAAAGTAAGAAATTCTTATGCAGAACAGGAGTGCTCAGGAGGTAATGTTTGCGTTCAAACTTCAACTGACTGTTTCACAGGCATCTCTGAAGCCATATGGGCTTTCGTCTAGGATCACAGTTGTAGGAGACCCTGTGCCAAAAAGGCCATTGCAGAGTCCAGCATATGTTTCACATCCTCATTGTGCATCAGAGAGAGCTCTGGCCTTGCAAACTTGGACCACTCTGTGCCCTTGGGAGGGTTGCAGATTTCTGCCCAGCATGCGTCTGAGGAAGCTGTGTCCTTTCCCACATTTGCTCCAGCTTCTCTGAACATTACTCTCGTGCTTAACGTGCCTAATCCAAATTCCTGGGTCTCAACTCCAGGTCCTTGGTCTGGACTTCTGGCTCCTGACAGGCAGCAACAGGTCCAGGTTTTATGTTCAAGGGGAAGCGAGGGGAACAGATGCTGGAGGGAGATGCGTATATACACTAGTAGTTTTATCATTGGTAATGTCAGATGGCAGTCTAACGGCCCCAGAATAGGCTGTAGACTCTTCTATTAGAACCGACAGCCATACTGCTAGTTGGTTCCAATGTGCTAATCTCCTTGTGCTTCTCACTGATGCAGGCATTTTGACACTGATCCATTTAGTTAGTGAAGGAGAAGCCTAGCAAATTCTACAACTTCAGTTGAATTTTTTTTTGGATTGTTAGAGATGCTGGTAATGTTAGATAATGAAGGCTGACAATGAGTTGAGATAAACAGGACCAACCTCTTCTGCATAATTCTTCAAACAAACATTGCCATGCGCCTCCCTCTTCCTATTCTTATAGCAGCAGCACCAATAAGGTCTCACATTTGTTTTGAGTACTGTGGGCCAATACAAATAAATAAAATGAAAAGCACACCAGGTCATTTGCCATCAGATTTTTGATCATCAGCTTGTATTCCTTGGTATCTATGCTTGAACAGGTTTGACTCTCAATTATACTAAATAGCTGAAGATTTTGGCCTAACCAGTTGTGTGCCTACAGAAAAGGGAAGTTTCCCTGATTCCTTAGTTGGAAGGACTCTCGGATGAGTAGTTTTATTGCCTTATTTTGACCACTGTGATCTTTTAGCATATTCTGGAAGTCAACTGAACTGAAGCATTAGCATGCTGGATTGCCAGAGTTTGTTGTGGTTGTATTTCAATACATCTCTTGACTGGAATTGATCTTGGCTGGACTCTTTTGTCCAGAGGGGGCTGGTCCTAAGATGCTTGTGCCTACTTAACCTAGGATATGTGGGTGTTTTTAAGTTAGGTGATGATTTGCGTCATGTCTTGCTGTGGAGTTACCTTAGCTAAGTGCAGAACTGTGGATGTGCTGGTGACATCCAAAAATGTATTTGTTCCTCACTAGCCAATCCTAGCTTAGGAAGTCCACTGTCAGGTCTTCCAGGGGAGAAGCACTGATTGGTTAGAGTTCAGATGATCAACTTAGCTGCAGACTCTTACAAAAAAAAAAGCTCTCTCCTTATGTCCTGATGTTAGTAGTGTACGAGAAGAAGGATTTTTGTTTTGTTTTGTTCTCAGCAATCTGAATCTTTTCAATAGCATTTCTTTTGCATATTGATTTATCTTTATAAACACAGATTATGTAGGGAAGGAAAGGCAGAGCTGCTTGTTGATAGCTCTCTACCATCCCTGCTGGCTGCTCTTCTCTTCCAGTCCCTCTGATATAAAATGGGGATGATAACTGTGTGTGTGCATGGGACTAAGAAAGATGCATAATGTTATGCAGGCTTGCTGTCTTTGGTTTTGAATTCTCAGGTTTTATATAGTCTCCAGTTATATCTTAGGCATTCTAGAAGAAAGTATTTTGGGGACAGTCTTGCGTTTTACTTCTTTAAATATAAACTGAATTTTTATGAAAACAGAGAATGACTAACTAGTTTGTTTCTGATTCAGATATGAGCCTTTTTCTTGCTTTATTTTCAATTTCAGCTCATATAATCTGAAGAAGGAAGGGAATGGTGAACTGTATAGAGCAAAGATCACGGTGTTAAATAGGAATAAGGTAGTTCTGTTGTGTACTTAAAAAATATTTAAAAAAAAAAAAAAAAAAGTGTGAATTACTTGAGATTTCCTTTCACAGACTTCCATTCCCAGTTATTGAGCACCAACCAGTCAGTATTCACTGAGAATCCCAAGTCATCCTCTTGGAGCTCCATCCATGGAGAGTTGACAGTTTTCAGTCTGAAGTTAAATATTTAAGAATTATTTAAGTTTAGTAATACACATTGTATTCCTTCACCATTATAATTCAGAATGAGGATATATTCCTCTACATGGTGGGAATATATGTCCCCAGTATGACCAACTGCAACAGAATCTTACCAAGATTGAAAGATGGTGATGCTTTTTGTCTCAATGAACCAGAGAAGCTGGAAAGGTGTGAATCTGTGCACATTTTCCAAGTGGGCTCAAAGCCAATTGTATGAGTGAAGTTGTTTTAAATGGAAGATCTGAAGGGAGTAAGAAACAATTTCCCCTGACATCCTAATGCTGTTTTAATTGGTAAAAAGTAGACCTTCTAGGTCATGTCAAGGGCAAAAACAACTTTCATACTAGTTGAAAAGTTTTCTGGTTAATCCAATTGTGTATTTCTAGATGCACTGAAGGATTGGCAAAGGCAGCAGAGAAAATGGAAATCCTCCTGGAAAGACTTCTTTCCTGCTGCTTAAAAGACACGGTACTTTCAAATGTTGGAGAGTATAGAAAGCTGGTCAGCCTCGTGTGATTTTAATTCTAGGCAGCTGGGAAATGCAGACTGCTTTTCTTAATAGCATCTCTAGGTTCAGAAGGTGCTCAGTAGGCCTTCTCTTGATGGTTTTTACAAGGCATTTGCAGTGTTGTCACACGATACATGGTACTATTCACTGTTACTTACTGTAGCAGCGTTTGAGTATGGAAGATGTCCAACTTAGCTATTTTTAAATGTATCAGCATCTCTGATTATTTTGTGTATGGCTTTTCCGAGGATTCATTCCCTTCTAAAGAGAACAGCTGTAAGGAAATATTTTGTTCATTCTGTTGCAGGTGTGGACATTGCCAGCGTCTCCAGCCAACTTGGAATGATCTGGGAGATAAATACAACAACATGGAAAACCCACAGGTCTATGTTGTTAAAGTGGATTGTACTACAGACACTCCTCTGTGCTCTGAATTTGGCGTCCGAGGATACCCTACGTAAGTATAGAAGGAGATCTGGTCCTGTGTCATTCTGTTTGAGTTTTCCATGATCTTCTGCCAACTTGTTGAAACTAATTTCTTAGCTCTGTGTTTTGGTAGTTTTCTCTGTAGCCCCGTGAATCTCTTATATTCCATTTAATCCTTTTTACTGTCTTGCCAAGTATGATGTGATATGTGCTACTCTTGCTTTTCTTTCTTCCGAAGAAACTGTGTTATGTCTTGGAGATGAACTGTTCAAATAAAGTCCAGAATTATCCTCCTCTCTCTCATAGTACCCTGTTCTCAAGCACCTTCCACAGCCCATGCTTTTCAGTTTCCTTCCCTGGGCTCTCTTTGCCTGGTGCTACTGCTCACCTCAGCAGCAGGCTGAACATGACATCCACCCGTGGCTACATTTGCTTTGACGCAGATGAGTGCCACTGATTAGAAGCTGAGAGTTATAAATAGCAAAGTCCTCATTGAAATAGGAATTGTCCTTAAGGGCAATCTGTGGCTGAGTTCCGCTAGAAATACCAAGAAACAATGAAGTTTGCAACTTTATTTTAGTATCCCCAGAAGCAAACGCTGGTTGCCTTTGTATGTTTGTATAGTTTATGTTGTGGCACCGTTCCTTACAAAAATGGAAAGAATGGCAGAGACTCTGAGTAAGGAAGAATTGAGTGGTTATCTATTATCACCTTGGGATACGTAATATTACTTGCATTGTGTTGCTTTTCAGCACTTTCATATGTTCATTTCTTTACAACTTGTGAAATGAGAAGAGAAAGAAAAATATTAAAGAAGAATGAAAAACTGGTTGTTTTTTAAATCCCCTGTAAAAATTGATATGGGAATGAAAAAGAGTCCTAAGTTCTAGAAGTTACCCTTCAAGTTGAGGGAGGTGTGTGGTGTTGAAATGAATTATTGGGAATAATCAAGAGAGCTGAATTGCTGTGAATTAATAAAGCGTCTCAACTTCCTTGGAATGTTTCACACGTGTAAATTTTTACCTCACTCTTTTCTGCATTTTAATCCTTTAGTTTAAAGCTGCTTAAACCAGGACAAGAACCTCTGAAATACCAAGGCCCTAGAGACTTACAGGCGCTGGAAAACTGGATGTTGGAAAAACTAAATGGGGAACCATCTGTAAGTGGAAAGGGAATAGGAAAAGGAAATATTTCCTTCTGCAGACTTGCTGTTCTATCTATAGGTTAGGTTTCACTCTCTGGCAGAAAATCTGCTCCTGAGAATAAAAGTCAAGTGAGAAAACGATGTGGAGCAGCTTCCACATAAGTTAGAATAATAATAAAATCTGATATCCTATGAGCTACATTTTGTGCCTGTATTTAAAACTACAGGAAGTACGTAGTGCAGTTTTTAATGTTTAGCATTTTGATATTTGAAGATTGAATTCTTTATGTCAATTCATTTAGCACCTTCAGGCTATAATATCTCTGGAGTGAGAAAAATGACTTGTCTATAATACAGGATAAATTGCATAATTTTCTCTTAACAATGTGGGATGCTGTCTTTAGCTTGATTATTAGCGGATAATGTTGTAGTCTACAGGAAGGGATTAAACTAATTGGTTAAATAAGTTAAACTGATACCATCTCTAGGAGAACTGTCGAGTTAGCACTTACATATATTAGACAAGCCCTGCCTAAAACTGAATTTTTAATTGCTGTTGCTAATCAAGATGTAACTACATGCTGAGCACAATTAGAAAATGATTATGCACAAACAGTGATCTTTTTAATAAGTTTACATTAAATGCTTAACTAATTCCTGAAATGTACTTCCCTCTTGAATAGGATTCAGAATCTACTGTGGAACCACCAAAAGCCCCCGAACCTAAGCAGGGAATGTATGAACTCTCAGCAGACAATTTCAAGACGCACATAGCAGAAGGTAACCTCTTTCATAAGCACGAGAGACTTGTTTACAGAGACCTGCCTAGTGGGAAGTGGGAAGCAGAAATATTAGTTCTTAACGTGCCTCCTTCCCAGTTAATTTTCCAGTAATGCCTCAGTAAAGAGGATGAACCTACATGCTGGGTAAAAATGCTGTAGTTTATTTACATACACTTTGCACGCCAGTAGAAAGCATAAGAGCAGCACTCCAACCAGAAGACAGTAGAGTTAAGGCCAGATTAAATTAACTGCTTGTGCCCATGCGATAACATGAATGAAACAGACATTAAAGCTTACTGAAGAAACCAATTAATTAATTAGAATCATATAAAATGTAAAGAAGGATTTTCTGCAGCAAATTTCCCTGTACGTGTGCCTTATCAGAGAATCACGTGGAAATTACAGTAGATTCTTCATTCAGCCATCAGGGAAACACTAACCATTAAACAGTTTGAGAAGATTCTGTCAGTTGTTAAGTTTAGGGCATGCATGAATGTTTTAATATGTATCCATTGGCTTTCATATACGATTGGAGGAGGTATTCTCACGGTGATACCTGATAGTCGAGCAGCTTTATGATCATCTGTAAAGCTGTTGTCCTCTCTTGACTTCAACAGTGCTTAAATTTAGCTGAAGGCTTAGGAGTTCTGCTTGGAAGGTTGACTTTGGTTCTTAACAACAGTTTCTGTCTACCTTTTCTGTGCTCTGGGGCTAGAAGATACATTTATTTTCTTTCAATCAGAAGAGAGTATCACAGAGTAAATGATACAGAATAGCTGCTTTTGACTGTGTGTTCTTAATTAATTCATGAGAAATTTCAGTATTGTCTTTACTTGGTCAAAGCAGAGCTAGTCAATCATTTTTGAAGGTATTCCTGGTACACAGTAGGCAAGTTAAGACTAAAGTACTTTTGCAGTTTACATTTCCTAGTGATTTTTGTGGTATCTCTTGCCTGACGTTCTTCTGTGAACAACCCCCTGAACCAGAAATTCTAGAAATTCTAGCCCCCACAGTAGTTCTCAAAGGATTGTAATTCTGTTAAAGTTTTCCCACAATCACTGTTTTTTTCCTTCAAATTGTTTTTTTTTGTTTGTTTGTTTTGTTTTGTTTTTGGTTTAATTAAATTCATTTTTATTTTGTATTAAGAGAGCATTGCTTTGATGTGTGCAAAAGCAGGCAGCAACTTGAATTAATAGTAATTCTAAAGAAAGGATATCACATATTCTGGTAATCTGCAATTAGGATAATAATTTTAAACAATATATTAGTGTGAGGCAGCAGAGAGACTCTCCTCTCTGTAAAATGCCATGAAATTCTACAAAAGCAGCAGTTTTTGCAAGATAGAAACAGAGAGAATTGTAAGATGGAGAAAATTATTTAGGCAGCTCTTGGACACAGAGCAGTGGTGTTTGCCTAGAAATTTGTACGTTGAAGTCTAATTTATACTTTGCTTTATGCTGTTACAAACACACATGCCTTGGTTCTTTCTACTGTGTAATAGGGCAAGGGATTGACATAGCAGAATTAGATATTCTAGAAAACTGTTAGGTTTAGTAGTAGTTCTAATACTTCATTTGTTGGCTTGAGTCTGTAAAGCTGCTTGGATCTTCAGGGAAATTGGCAACACTGAGGGACTGCATACAGTTTTGAAAACCTAATTGCTGAAATATTCTGCCCTGGCTTTTTATTCACAGTGTTTCCTATCTTTAACCCAGGAAATACCATGATAAATTTGCAGACAGAGATTAATGCCTAGCCTTTAATGGCAGCCAAATTAATTCCAAAAGAGTTAAATCTTTTTCTTTGACTTCAAAGGTAATCACTTCATCAAATTCTTTGCCCCTTGGTGTGGTCACTGCAAGGCTTTGGCCCCAACTTGGGAACAGCTGGCTCTGGCCTTTGAACATTCAGAAACTGTAAAGATTGGCAAGGTAGGTGACGTACTCTTTTCTTAATTTGCAGGTGTTTTTGCATACAGATGTTTCAATCAACTGCCGTGCTGTTCATTCTGTGATTTGCAAATAATAGCTGTTAAATCTCTTCATATTCATAGTTCCTGTTTTAATTTTATGATGGTTATTTTCTTCTCACACATTCAGTATTCTACTTTATGTTGGAAGAGATGGTTGTTTAGTTACAATTAACAGGACTCCCTCATTTTAAACAAGAACTTGTTGGAAACATTGCATACTCCTCCCTGTGTTTCAGAGAGATTTGGGAATAAGCCTAAATACTTTTCAAATTTTTCCTTTTTATTCCCATTGAGCTTTCTAAAGTTTTCAGGGGGTCTCCCACCCTAAAAACTGATACCTTGTCCTGCTTTACTGTTTCTCTTAGGGATGATAACCAGATTCTGTGGTGTATTTACCATGGGAGCTTGATATTTGTACATGGAGTGACTTCTGTGCAGAGGTATGCAGGTGGTCTGGCAATTCTAGTTACTGGCTTTATTTGCTGACCCATACCTAAGTTCAGGTCGCTAATGATGTGAACCTCCCTGTATTTGTCACTAGTGGAAAGCTGACAGGGCTCAATTTTCATATCCTTAAGCTTTCAGATAGGTTCACTGGTCTGAAAGCTTCCATGACACTTAGCAGTGCTGTCTGTCCTGCAGAGAGACAAGAAACCAGCAATCTATGTCTCTGCTCTCATAGTATTTTCAGCTGTTACTAGAGGTGATGAACTTGACTTTTTTTTTCCCCTATGAAATGCTTTGATAATTGCTAATTCAGATATGCCACAGATGCAGAGAGCAGATCAGCATGGTTAAACTCTAGAGAAGACATGTATCTACTGTTGAGACCAGGTTGATATAAAATACACTCCCCTCTGAGAATAAAGTATCAGAAACTAATGTTGCTTTGATACCCATTGCACCAAATTTGTAAATGCTGATTAACTTTTGAGAATGTGGAGTGCCTGATGAAATCATTGCTTAGCTTCACTATCTTCTTGAAGTTACCAGTCTGTTATCCAGAGGAACACAAACCAAAAATTTTCAGAAGCTGTGTTCAACTGTCTGTTGTGTTCACATTTGTCCCTGTTGCTGATATTTGCTCTCTAATAAAGCCACTGAGATTTGTCTCGATGTTTAGTCAGTTTTGGTTAACTGTATACATTATGAAACTATTTGAAATGTGTTGGCTAAGATAGTAGGTCTGTAATTAAACAGGAAATACAGCTGTTTCTAAGAAGGTTCAACCATGACCTTTGTGTAATCTGGGGAAATAGTGTCTTAGCAGCAATGTTATCTGCTGGCATGGTTGTGTTTAATGTTTAGAACTGATCTTCAGGGATCTGGGTCAAAGTATTTCTAGTGTAAAATTCAAAATCCAAGTGTAGAGCAAAGACTTAAGTGCCTAAGTTATCTGTTTGCTTTGCTTTGGGAAAGATTATGAGCAGGTTACTTTATAGATTGGTTTACGACAAATTAGAATTGAACAGTGCTACGCACTTGGAATTTCCTTTGGAGTGAAGTTAACTTCCTAGCTGTTGACATGTCTTCTGATTTCAAAGAGTAGTCTTACTTTCAGGTGAAGATATATTGGTTTATCCATTGTTTTAAAGCCTTTGCACGTTAATATTCCAAGTATTTAACTAGAATACTTACGTTCCCATTGTTCTTTGCTGCTGTTTCTTCTACTTCCTCCCTCCCTCTGTTGTCCCTCTTGAAATAAAAGCAAAAATACACACAGCCTCCCAGTGACACAACCAGAACACTATTTGGAAGGCTGAAATAACTGTTGTCAAGAAAATACTCGGCACTGGCTTTTGCCAAGCTATGTATTCTCTGTTCATGTATTTTTCTGGGATTTTTGAATACAAGGGAGGCTCTAATGCTTATTGTGTGTTTATTTTACACACTGAATGGTTTATAATTTTTTTTTTTTTTTTCCCAAATCGTAGGTCGACTGTACCCAGCATTATGAGGTCTGCTCTGAAAATCAAGTTCGTGGCTATCCTACACTCCTCTGGTTTAGGAATGGTGAAAAGGTGAGTCTGCAAGCTCAGACTGTTTTTTCCTGAATAATACATGGACTACGCTTGGATCCTGGGAAAAAAGGTCAAGTGGTTGTATATGAGAGACCACTTGTGACACAAAAGATGTTGCAGGTTCAAACCAGTACTAGAAGAGATACACTTGATCCACAGGTAAAAGTTAGAACATTTTGCTCAGTGTTCTCTGCAAATGACTGAGCGGTGTTCATAAATCTGAAAGAAAACACTATCTTGAAGTTTGCTAATGTGAGAGGAATTCTCTGTTTATCTTAAGACTCTACCTCCTGCAGAACACTAGATGAAATAGAAGTAATAAAAATATATTCAATTTTCATAATCTGTATTAAAGGGCTCTTATCTGTAAGTGATGCCAATCTGATGAGTGATGTCTGAGAATGGACATTTTCCTTTATAGAAATCTTCATGCAGACTCTGTGAGTGAGGGGCTTGTGCACCCAGCTGATGTTTCCCTGTAGAAATTCAGAGATACCATGTTCTGAAGTCTGGGGAAAGTAAAATATTTATATACTGCATATTTTAATGCTGCATACGTGAACAGTAGCAGACATACTGTGAGTTGTAGTGTTGCTTATCATGTGTAACTGAAAGAGAGCTCGAATTGGACAAAATGGCACATCCAAGGTTAGAAGCATTTTCAGTTAGCAAGAATTTGGTCTGTTCATGGATTTAGTTTGAAGAACAGGAAATGTTCTGCTGTTGCTCCAGCATGATTTTCCAACTGCTTTATTTTTATTTTTAACATGGCTACAAAGGGCAGGATAACTTGCCAGAACTGTAATGGCTCAGCGTTGAAAAGTTAGCTGTGTTTTTTCTCAAAAGCCAGACTTTTTTTTTTTCGTAATTATTGAAGTTTAAGTTGCAGTGAATAAAGGGTGCAGAGAAAGAACTCAGATCACTGCTATTGTATTTGGTTAATATGAATCTCAGCCGTTTGTCTGAACAATGTATTTCTCTTGACGTTAAACTGGCCTTTCTCCACTGGCAGTGTTGGTATTCCCTGGTGACTTTCTGCCATCATAATCACATGTTTGTTTGTGGGCTGATACGATATATTTAAATGTAAAAAAAAAAGCCCCACAAAAACAGCAACTTTCCAATAATGTAACACAGAGATTCCTGGAAGTCCTTCTAGCCACTATTGTACTGTTCAGTAACATGGGGGAAGAGGAGGGTTGCTGGTTCAGCCATCCAGCATTGTCCATAATGCCGTCACCCATTCTGTCATAACTGACTGGCATCACAACACCCTTACTGGTTAGATTGAGGTAGCAGAAGCCCTGTGGGGAATGAATGTGGATTGACCCTGTCCTGCTATAATGGATATGAACGAGAAGGTAGCACAGTGAGCTGGTGGGTAGGGCATTTCAGCAGTGGCAGCAGTGCCAGTGGGTCACCACTGCTGGTGCAGATTTTTCTGAGCACAGCATGCAGGCTCTTGTTCATCGCTGGTGAAAATGCAGAGCTAATAGTCATTGTTTTGAAACTGGGAATTTGCTGTATCAAATGGTTCTATTGTGCTCTTTGTAGCTGTTATGACTTCCGTGGGAATAAATAGGAGGCATTACTTTTGGAGCGACCTACACCTGTGTTAGATTAACTACACTCACACAAGCTATTTAATAATTGTAGGGTGACCAGTACAAAGGGAAGAGGGACTTTGATTCCTTGAAGGAGTATGTGGATTCCCAACTACAGAGCTCTGGGAAAGAACCACCAGCAAGTAAACCCACAGAAGCCCCACAGCCACCTGCAGAACCCACTCAGGCTGAGGTAAGTGCTCCTGCACTCTGCTACTGTATTAACAGAGTTTCTGCAGCCTGTCCAAGTTTTCCATGTGTTTTTCTCTCTGTTAGACCCACAGTTTCTAGATGTGAGCTGGGCCAAGTATTTTCTTAATTTTCTTTTCAGCAATTAGTGATGGGAATCCAGCCATAAATCTTACTGACACTTTTACTAACCTGAGTTAGAGAATGTAATGAACAACTACCTCCTTTTATTTTAATGGTTGCAGTAAGTGATTTAGGCAGTGTCGTAAGTTTGGTCTTCTTTTGGTGTGCTGAACTGCTGGCACCTCCGTATGTGTGACAGCATGCTTTGTTGCTAGGGAGATGAATGTCACTTGCAAGATTCTCACTTGAACCCAAGGAGATGGCATACAGTGCTGAGCTACTGAAAAAAAGCCAAATCTCCATTCTTACAGACTCTCTGCAGAAACAGCAAACAAGCAAAGGCGATGAAGATTGATCTAAATGTCTCAGGGCAGTGTGCACTGTGGCAATAAAACTCCTTGGGTTTTGAGGCTTATTTTAATCCTGCTTGTAGCAACTGGAGGGTTTATGAATATTGCCAAGGACTGTCAGGAATAACTTCATCATCTTTGCATAGCTGTGCTTCATGTCATGTAACTCTGTCTTTTTTCATCACTTCTGCATTTCATCTGCCATTTTTCTTGCAGCTGAATATCAAATTGGTCTGGTAGAATAATTAGGGATAATTTTTAAGCGTTCTGTTTTATCAAATATGGAAAATTCTGCCCAGAAAGTAAGGGATGGTGATTTACACTCCTTTGTGATGTACATTATACTTACATAATATAAATACTTACATAATTAAAAATGTTTATATTATTAATATATTAATATTATTAATATTAATATTATTAATATATCATTAATATATTAATAATATATAATAATTATATGCATTATAATTTAATATTATTAATGCAAATACAGCTTATATGCAGCTTCTCACAAGAGAATATTACCTTTCCTATTTGGCTTCTTCCAATTAGGTTGCTCATCTTGCGTAAGGTGGCTTCCAGATTGTGATATTAAGAGATGCAGTTTTCATCTTTCTCAACTTTTTAAATTGACCTTATATTTGGAAGGTATTAACAAGCTGGTGTTAGTACAATGCAGGAAGTAATTAGTCTTCACTCTCTATTGTTAGAGAAATAACATAAACTATGTATTATGCAAATTCCCACTTACACCTTGACTGCATCACTGCACATGCAAAAGGGAAAAGACTGTGGGGAGGCAGGTTTGTTTTTTGTTTGTTTTTTTTTCCTAAATAATAGTAGATACAGTGTAGTACTAAACTTTTTTTCTTTGCAACTTTACATCTCAACACAGTATTGCCACAACTTCTTGGTTGTTCACCTTCAAACACCTTGGTTCTGGTTTTCTTCTCATGAGTCTACAGGATTCTAACCCATGTAGCCAGAAAGCACTGACTGTGATTAGCAGCCACAGCTGGTACCTCAGGCAGCAAAAGCCATGAGTTCTGACTCCAAATCTGTGTTCCAATGTTGTGTTCCAACCCTGTGTGAGTTCTTATCTTACATGGACGTACTGCATGTCAGTCATTTCACAAAAGTTGAACTTTTATACCTGTCAGGCTTCAGAGCAGCCACACTTACCCAAAGTACTCAAAAATGATCCAGATGTGTTAAGGCAGAGTGACCAACACAGATGCTGTCACTGTCTGCTTTCAAGTCTCTTTTTGGCTTCTCTTCATAAAACTTTCACTGCAGAATTGATAATCCTGGCAGCTGCGCTCTTGTGTTTGTTTTGCTTTCATTTGAATTTGAAACCTTTATAGGCACGAGATTCACTCATTTATTTATTTTGAATCCCTCCCATCTGTAAAGGTGTCACACAGAAATCCAGTTAGTTATGGTTCTGTGCTCTCATACAATGTGTGAGGCTGCCTTTAAGCAGTGTGCAGTCCTCCCTTCTCTCCTGTGCCATTGCTTCTGATGTTATCAGGAGGAAAAATTCTTCGTGGCGTCCGTGTGAGCGTGGTGTGGTGATGTTCTCCTGGCAGCCAGATACGTGTTTCTGCTAACAGCTTTCTCTGTGTCTGCAGCACAGGGATATAGCAGAGGGAGATCAGCTGTCAAGACAACTCTAGTATGCCATAAGTTCCTCATGGAACAAACTCTCCATCAGCCATCACAGGTTTTATGCCAACTGCTCTCATCATTGTTCTTGAAATGCTTGCATGAGAGCGTATTGTAGGGAAGGTGATTTTTTTTTAGCAGATATAAGTTTGCCTGTTAGTAAAGTCCCCTGAAAACAGGCATGTTTTATTTCTTCAGATACGGATCTCTCTAAGGATGGAAAGTAGCTAAGGGGTAAATGTGAAGTATATTGCTTTTAATCTTGTTCATACCATCAGTAATGCTGTCTTTCCCAGTTTGAGTTTCCCTCTCAGGTAGCTAAATGCTCATTTGGCCAGTGTTAAACATACAACAATGATTTTACTTTCCTTTTTTAGCAGGCTACAGTGCTTTCTCTCTCTGAAAAAGACTTTGATGAAACCATTGCTAGGGGAATCACCTTTATTAAATTCTATGCTCCATGGTAAGTAGTTTGTATCTCCTTTTCAGAGTTATTTTAATTTGTGCGTTAGTTGTTGTAGGCCTTTGAGTTCCTCTGTAGTATTGCATTTGTTGCCTGGATCCAAAGCGCAAGTTAACTGAAAAATGAGTGTGTTGGCAAGAGTTGCAGCCAAAAATTGGGTCTCTTCTAGCTTTCCTGGGATTCCTCTCTGTGGAAAGGCTGATAGAGAGGCTTTACCATGTTAACCTGCAGCTAATGTCAGGTAACAAGGAGAGCAAAGCTTTCTTCACAGGCTTAGCATGCTCCTATGCCTTGATTAGGATAAGCTGAAGGAAGGCTATCGGCAGTGCTGGTTGAGAAAGGAGAACGTGCCAGCATTGGGATCTCTGTGCCACAACCAGCTTCTTTGGGAAGCATTACTTGAGCACCTGAAAATTGGTACAGACTGTAGAGCTTTGGATCATGGGCTGTCACTCTTCAAATATCTGATTAAAAAACTAATTGGCACAAGTGATGACTTTAACACTTTATTAAACGCTCTGTGTAATATATTCTTACAGCAGCCTGTGGTAGAAATGATTGATGCAGATGGTGTAGGTGCACGCTGAGTTGAAAGCATTGGGGAAAAAAAGTAATGATGTCCTTCTTATCTGGCCTCTGCCATTTCTGGCATGGCCTAGCATTCAAGCTGGGATAAGACCCTAGTAGTAGAAAAGCACAGAATATTTCCCTTTCTGAGACTAAAACAATTATTCAAGTTTGTCTCTCTGGTTTTTGGACTTCATCCTATATATGTCTGATGGAATTTCACGAAATGTGTTTGCTGTCTTTCTCATCCATTTCCTGGATGAAGAAGAAACCTAGTGTGGGAGGAGAGAAGAAAATTACATTGAATGTCACTGTGAAAGATAATGCATCTCTGATATGAGACCTGCCATCCCACGAGGGATGTAGAAAGATCTTTTATTTGTGGCGGTAGATCATAACTATTGCAAAGCAACACAGGTAAATGCAACCTATTTCAAGATGTACTCAGGAGTATCAAAATATTGCCTCTTAACTTTGCCAGTAGGTGTGAGTCCGTTTCTGATTGTAAGAAAGAAGTACTAGGAAAACTTGCACTTCTGTATAGTCTAAATGATGCCGTTTTTTCCAGTGTTGTCACTCCTTCTACTGCAGTGTGATTTGCTGCCTGTTTTATGTCTAGATCTGCTTTTGGATTGGGAATGTATCTGACACCACTGTGTTAAGAAACAGCCCCCACTCCACACACCTTCACGTTTGCTCTGTTTACTGCTCTCTCTTCACTTTATCCTTTCTGTGCACTGTGGGAGACTGAGATTGATTCTGTGCCCATTCTGCTATGCCACCAGCAGAACTCATTGTTAAATTCAGTATTCAGTTGACACCTTTGCACAAAGCAGAAAGATTCTAGTTGAAACCCAGAGCTTGTTGGCAGATGTGGGAGTTGGCCATCTGAGAGTCATATGGAAAAATCACAGATAACTAAAAACAACTGAGAATTTATATTTACATTTTCCTAATAGCGTGGCAATTTAGCCAACTTGTTGTGATAATCTGATGGGGTGTTGCTGGAAAAAATCATGTTCTTAATCAGTATGCTCTCCCTGGCTGTAAAGTTCAGGAAGCCACCATTTAGGAAAATACTGCTTACATTTATGTAGCTGATATCCAGTTTTAGCTCTCAAAGTCATGCTTATGTATACAGTTACAGTGCACTGCCTATAAATCACCTTTTTCTCTTCCAAGTGAATTAACTTTCACTGGGCTCAGCAAACACTATTATATTGCTCGCTAGTTCTGTACTTCAGTTAGTTTTGGATAAATATTCCTGCTAACTTGCATAATAAGCATAAAAACTGTCCTGTTTCTGTTAGGTTTTGTGCATAGTCAAAAAAGCTTTTATAGTGTTGTACCTTAACAAGGTGGTTTAAACATATGTAGGCTTCTGTTTAGTGAACTTTAGCAGAGATATCTTTCATTGTTTTTGTGAATGCCCTGATCTAGCTTCAGGGCAATTAAAGGGCTGTTCTAATTACCCAGTTAAGGTGCAGCTGGTTAGAATAGAATGAGCACAGACTTAAAGTCTGAAGCACTTTGGAAGTTCTTCTTGAAAGCAATAAGAAGTTCAAGTTATTAACTTGGCCAAGCCCTGTTCAAACTATCAACAACATTAACACTTGGTTATAATTCCTGCCATTTTACAACATCATTTTCTCTTCTGACGCTAGTCCTTCAGTGTGTACCCTGTGGAAAAGTGCATTCAGCTACCAGTGTGTATCTCAAACAGAGAATCTGTGCTGAGAAATGAGTCTATTAAAATTGAATTTCCAGCACCGGGAGTTGCTACTTTACTCAAGGAGGCAATTAGGAACTGGAGGAAATTCAGTAGGGAAATCAATCTCATTTAGGTAATTAAACTCAGGCCATTTAAACTAACCATAAATGGCATATACCACCTGATGACCTATTATTAATTCATTCACTGTTTGAAAAGCTTAATTAGTAGTGCAAACATTCTATATCTTATTCAAAACACGTTCGTATCTATGTGACTGTGGTTTTTCATTTAAAAATTCTCTTATTTGGTTTTGTTTTCCTCTGTGAAGTGCTGACAACCAGAATACCATTCCAGAAGAAGAGAGTGAAGACTACCTCAGTGTTGTGCTTAGAGGATATCGTTCACTTCTGTTTCTTTAGCTCATTTGACTGACATAACAGTGCAAGGGAGTTGGAGGCCTAAATCATTAGGGGATGGGAAAGGCAGCTTGTTAAACTTGCAGATATTCCAGTTAGACAGAGATAAATGGGAAGGTGTATCTGCTAAACAAATCTCTTTCTTTGTTTCTAGGTGTGGTCACTGTAAGAACTTGGCTCCGACTTGGGAGAGCCTTGCCAAAGAGCAATTTCCAGGTTTGACTGATGTCAAAATAGCAGAAGTAGACTGCACTGTAGAACGTAACGTCTGCAACAGATTTTCTGTAAGTGTGAAAGAGCTGTGATGAACTGGATAGTATTGTGTACCAAAGCTAGAAGCTCCAGCATGCAGCCCAGCTGGCTGCTGTGTTGTGGGTGCCTGGTGATGGCACAACCGTGTTCTCCATTAGCAAAAACAAACAAAAATGTAGCCCAGAAATGCACCTGACGGCACGGCTTCTTTCACTGATAGTTTGCTCAGACTTGGTCATTCTCACTACTGGAAAAAGGTGAAGGAATTCCTGCTTTGAGAGCCAGCAGCCTTCTGAAACCACCAGTCTTGTGGTATAGCCACTGAAATGTTCTCTTCCTAGAAAATGTGGATCTGGTGGCCACACAATGGAAGGTAAAGCTGGCCTTCAAGTTGCTGATGGAAGAGCCTAGAGTACCATGTATTTTCCCACTTCACAATTTTTAGAAATTGAAGGTTGGCAGTGAAAGTTCTGGTGCTTTTTTGTTGTGTGGTTGTTTGGTTTTTTTTATCTTTAATTAAATCAATTTGCTTATTTAGAGTGGTTTGGTAGCTTTTCAGAGTCAGATAAATACCAGTGAGTCTGGAAATCAGTAACAAGTTTCATTTGTGTGTCCTTTGAAGGTACGTGGATATCCTACGCTTCTGCTTTTCCGAGGTGGAAAGAAAGTCAGTGAACACAACGGAACGAGAGATCTGGAATCACTGCATAGCTTTGTTTTGCGTCAGGCAAGGGATGAGTTGTAATAAAAGTCTCAATGCTCTGTCCCTGGCTGTCTCTGTACGGTAGTTGAGGGATTTAAGGCATTGCTAATTTTCAAATAGTATGTTGGGGGGTGGGGTGGGAATTGGGGCTTTTTTGTTTGTTGGTTTGTTTTTAGGAAATGGAATGTACTGAACATTGGTATCTTCCCTCTGTGTGTGTTAAAGGCAAGTTACCTTACTTGTGAAGGAGAACTGACAAGTAGTTATATGCAAACGGAGAGTATTTTCAGTATTAGTAGTATTGCTACATTTCTGCATTCCCGCAGTGAAGTGTAAATGGTTTCCATTGAGACTAAAATACATTAAGAAAACCAAATTAAGGGCACCAGCAGAATATTTTTGTCTTCAGGTAAGATTTGGTTATAAAAAGTAATCCTTCCAAACTGCACACTATTGCTAGAAAGCTAAAAGCTGCAGCTGTGTTAAATAACTACTGCCTCTACAATGGTACTTCCAACCTGTTTGTCTTAATATGGCTGCTGGTTAAGAAATGAAAAGTCACAGGAGGCTGAAAACACACATCTGGAAGATACCAGGCCACCATGAGCTGTTTCCTCTTAATCCTCTCTGCATGGGAGGTCAGCCATAATGAAAGCAATGGTACTGTAACATGTGCCTGAACATTACTGATGCCATAGTGTACGTGTCAGGTGGATGTTTTTTGTTGTAGACTGCTTTTTAGCTCCAGAGGAGTAACTATGCTCTATTTATATAGAGTCAAAGCAAACTGGCTCTATTATAGTTACTTCGTTAATATTAAATGATCAGTTAGACCTCACAGCTGATTACATGCATTTCCTACCTTCACCTTTGTGTTGACCTGCTCTTTAGTCAGAGCACTTGGAGAACAATAGTACAATATAAGTAACTTTTCTGCTCTGTTTGACAGTCGTCTAAAATAGTTCCCCACTCTTCTTGAGCCTTAACCTTTTTTCCAGGTGTAAGTGTTGCTAAGTTTGAATGTTAGGCCCGTGCCCTCCCTGTTGCCTTGGATTATGATATGGATCTGTTCTTTGGTGCATAAGATGCTCCAGGTTTGACAGTTGAAAGCCAAAGAATTACACTGCAGGTACTGTCAGAGTACAATGACAGCAGCAAACCAAGGACTGGATTCTGCCATCCCGTGTGTGCACAGAAACTCATGGAATGAATGTGACAAACTACAGGCTAATTTGACTAATCTGTCAAAATTCTGATCTTATCCATCATATGGAGTAGGTTTGTTTTCATTAAAAAAAAAAAATAGAGCAGTAATGAACTTTGAAATCAGTGGATTGCTCGTGGTACTTCACTGTCTGTCAAGAACCTTTTGGTTCTGTTCAATTTAAAAATGTGCAAAGGTGAAAAATCCACAGTGGAAGCTAAGTGTTGTATGGCAGATGTGTTAGATCAGTGTACATACTTCTGCCTTAAAGGAAGCCTTTATTATCATGTTTTTAACAACTTTCTAGTGAAGCACAATCTCATGAGTTTCTTGTATAAAATCGAAGTGATACAATTGTTTACACTGAGATTTTTCTAAATAAAAACTTTTTTAAAAAGCAGTCTTTCTATAAATGATACAGCACAATGAATATACAGTGAAAAGTGCAATAAATTATAGCTTGTATTTACAAGAAGCCTTTTAAATGCAAGAATCAAGAGGTAAGTGCATTTAATACAAGTTTAATATTGATCAAAACAATTTGCTGTTAGCTTCTGCTAGACAAACCGTGGCTACCGTGTGAATGCATCCTTTATACCAGTTTGTTAGTTGCGTGAGTTGAAGGGGAAGGGTTGGCCAAATATTTGAATAAGTAAGTTGCTGACATTTTGTCTTCCTGTAAATAAATTGTCCAACTAGAGAATGAATGGCCCCTAAACTTTTACGTCTGACTTACAGCTGGAGAAGTGTCCAGACTTCCTTCCTGGGCAAGTGGTAGTAAGATGAGGCAGCTCCACTCAGGGAGTGGAAGGAAGTCATGTAAGAACAAATATGTGAAGTTACCCTACTCACAGTCAAACACTGATCAGGAAAGATCAGCCACGATCTAAGTTCATGCTAGTATTTCTAACACAGGATGCAGCCAAGCCATCTTACTCTCTCAGCATCAGATTTAAACTGTGCTCAGAGACCAAGGTACCCAAAAGATTTGCTTTGGCACAATGCATGCTATCATGATAGGTTTCAGAGAAGACTAACAGGAGAGGTGTAACAGCTGGTCCTTATAGACAAAAGGCAATTCCTACCCTTAGGAATTTCGTATTACTATTGTACACATGGTATATACTAAGTCAGATGTAGTAACAATGCTCTTTAGCGACCCTCTCCCCTCAAAAGACTCACTGGTTTTGGGTGTTGGATGTCCATCTGCTTAAACTGTAGCACACATCCAAGCAACTGATAAGGCCAAGCTGCTAGGTGAGATTAAGACCATCCCAGCCAATAAGCACGTGTGCAGGCATATTGCTGCTTTGCGAGCTCCAGTTGCAGAGCTGAGCAGCCACTGCAGCTTAGGGTTGCATTTGAAGAATTCCAGCTCTTTGCTCACACCACACCATGTGGTTCCACAAGCCCTTTCCTCGCACAAGGCACATAAATGGTGTTTTGAAAGGTGATTCATCAACTTTTTTCTCCCCACTGTCAGGTAGTTTGTAAAATTATGGAAGGTAGTATGGAAGTTCATGGTAGAATCACAGAGTCCACGTGAAGACTTTGTCAGTGACATCCACAGGCTCTTACTACCATATTCCTGTATTTCTTCAAGATTACATTAGAATTATCATCGAAATAAAGAACTGATATGGCGTTTAGTTTGGTAGGTGCACAGCATGGTTTGGGAACGTAATCAGGATTCATAAGATGAACCTGTTGTCGAAAAGAAAACATAATTGATACGATGGTAACTCACTCACAAACTCACCTATGGCTTTAGCACAGGTCTTTCTGGAGACTTACCAGGGTTTGTACGATGGCGTGGTTGGTTGCGTTCATGTGTGCATTGAGAGGAAAGGAGCATTCCCCATCACAGTAGTTGGCTGCGTAGCCCTTTGGAGCGATTATCCAGTCCTTTTTTAGGAAACAAACGGAACGTGATTTTAATTAAAAAGTTGCCAGCTTCCAGAGACAACTGCACCCAATTAAGGCCAGCTGAAAATTTTCCACTTTTTCTTGAGGGGGAAAATGTGTTTTCACTGAAGGTTTTTGTTGTTTCTTTTTTTTTTTTTTTTTTTTTTTGTAAGCTGTGACTTTTCCATGGACACTGATGTTCGTGTCCAAAGAATGGTGCATTGCTACGCGCTTCGCTGCCACAAATGAAAACAGTTTTATTTCCAAAACTGCTGCTGTGGCACTTTGTGGGGATTGTGGTTTGGATGCCTTTATGCTCCAGTGTTTCCTGCAGGTTAGGTCCTCTGGCTGAACTACAGCTAGGGCCAGTGGAGGAAGTTTCATCTGTCTAAATTCTCTACATGTGGGGAAGAGTGGCCTCCTTGAGCTGCAGGTGGCAAGGCTTTCCCAGCAAGGAACACAATGCCATGGGAAAAAAAAAAAAAAAAGTGATGTTTCCCCATAGGGATAACACCAAGAAAATTACAGCTTTTCTCCTGCTGCTACAAATGAGCCAAAAGCAAATTAAAACCAAAAAATGGTCCTTGTGTTAACAGTGCAGAAAGGTGTTTTTTTAAAGAGTCATCATCGCCAGTTATCAGGAGACACTTCTCCCTTGGCATCAGGTGTCAACACACATCTGGGTTAGCATGAATTTTGCCACAGCAGTAACTAAACAGCCAGCAACTGTTGCCACAGCTTTTTAAGCTTGTGGTGCGATTGCTGACACAAGGATTCCTGGGCACACCAAAACTACATTTGACATACTCATTCAGCTATAATTTTGCTCCTGGTTAAGCAAGCTGCTCTTTGTAAAGCAGGCACTCTCCTGATACACAGGCAAGCGCTGATAATGTGAATACATTTGTGGTTTAGTGCTGTATAAGGGAAGCACTGCAAAGGGTGTGGAGGGGCAAGGTTTTGCAAGCTCTGCACACAAAAAGGTGCTGAATTTAAAAAAAGGACATTGACTGAAATGTGACATTTAATGCACTAGAGTCTGGGCCCTAAGGAGCTTGCCTGAGACACCCCCCTAGCCTTGCAGTGTTGCAACTAAAACCAATCTTTGGTCTACCCATGCAGCCAGTGCTAACTTCTGGGGGCACCAGTTAGGGATTTTAACATGAGGGGAAGTTTAATATTGGGTTGATGACTAGAAAGACTTGATTTTGTTAAAACTGGTACTTAACCCATTTGTTTTTCCTTATCATTAGAGGTATGCAGATACAAGTCCTTGTCGTGACTCCCATGAGTGACAGAGGATGGCTGTATATTTGTATCTCATAAAATATCATGCTTCCTCTGGATTTTGTCAAATGTCACAACTATCAATATTTATTTGCCCTTCCCCGTGACTGGTTTTAGCAGGGAGGCACAAGGGACATCTTAAAGCATAATGGCAACCTTGAGTGGAATTACCATGACACTGTTTAGCTAACATTTCATAACAAAATGTCTAGTTTATCCAGTGAGAAACATCACACACCTGCCATCCCAAGTCTTGGAAGCTAACGTAAAGTTCATGCTTTCTGCATGCTGTTTTTAAGTCACTGCTGTTGTAATCTGTTAGGATAAAAAAGAACAAAACAGGAATTTAGAAAGTTAAAGAGGCAGAGCATCACTGGAGCACACAGCTGGGCAGATGTGTGCACTGCAGAGACTCTTCTTTGGACAGCCAAAGCAGGACTGAGATTTTCAAGATACCTATGGGAACGGTGGCACCCAAGTAACAGTGACTGGCCTAGAACTCCTTCATCCTCCCTTAAAAACCTGATGAGCAGTGCTCGTAAAACACCTCCACTAAAATCATTTCTTCAAAATAAATCCCTGCTCCATCACCCAGCACGTGCCACATCTCTGCTGTAGCTCATATGCACATTTCCCCAGGGTACACTCACAACCCACACAGTTCCTG